GAGATCCTTCCACTTCCACCTCCGGAGTAGCTAGGACCACAGGCACACACCACCACACCCAGCTAAAATACTTTTTTTTTCTTTTTCTTGCTCTGTCGCCTAGGCTGAAGTGCAGTGGCATATTCTCGGTTCACTGCAACCGCCACCTTCTGGGTTCAAGCAATTCTCCTGCCTCAGCCTCCCGAATAGCTGGGATTACAGGCACCTGCCACCACACCCAGCTAATTTTTGTATTTTTAGTAGACATGGGGTTTCACCGTGTCAAGGCTTTCACCATGTTGGCCAGGCTGGTCTCGAACTCCTGACCTCAAGTGATCCGTCCGCCTCAGCCTCTCAAAGTGCTGGGATTACAGGCTTGAGCCTCCACGCCTGGTCTGGTTTTTGTTTTTTTTGTTGTTGTTTTTGGGAACAGGATTTCACTGTGTTAGGCTGGAATGTAGTGGTGCGATCACAGCTCACTGCAGCCTCGAACTCGTGCCTGAGGTTCCTGAGTAGCTGGGACTACCTGGTGCACACCACTGTGTTTGACTAATTTAAAATTTTTTTTTTTTTTTTGTAGAGAGAGGGTCTTGCTTTGTTGCTCGGGCTGGTCTGGAACTTTCGGCCTCAAGCAGTCTTTCTGCCTTGGCATGTCAAAGCCCTGGGATTACAGGTGTGAGCCACTGCACTCAGCCTTGACTGTTTTTAAAACACAAAGTGGCTAAGGCCTGTAATGCCAGCACTTCTGGAAGGCCAAGGCAGGTGGATCACGTAAGACCAGGTGTTCAAGACCAGTCTGATCAACATGGTGAAACCCCATCTCTACTAAAAATACAAAAACTAGCCGGGTGTGGTGGCGGGTGCCTGTAATCCCAGCTACTCAGGAGGCTGAGACAAGAGAGTCACTTAAACCTGGGAGGCAGAGGTTGCAGTGAGCCAAGATCATGCCATTGTACTCCAGCCTGGGCGACACAGCAATGCTGTCAAATAAATAAATACATAAATAAATAAACAAATAAAATAAAACACAAAGTCCTTTCCTATACTCCTGAGTCGCCTCAGTTCTGGGCCAATTGGGAAGGTTGGTTACCCTGTTTACTAGTTTTTCTACTGATGCCCTTTTTCTGTTCCAGGATTTGATCCAGAACACCACATTGCATTTAGTTGTTCTGTCTCCTTAGTTTCTCATCTGCAATGATTTGTGGGTCCTTCCTTATTTTTCATGACCTTGGCTCTTTTGATTTGTTTTGTTTTTTGTTTTTGAGGCAGGGTCTCACTGTGTTGCCCAGGCTGGAGTGCACTGCCATGACCACGGCTCACTGCAGTCTTGACCTCCTGGGCTCACATGATCCTCCTGCCTCAGCCTTCTGAGTAGCTGGGACTACAGGTGAGCACCACCACACCCGGTCAATGTTTTGTTTTTGTAGACTCGGGGTCTCCCTATGTTGCCCGGGCTGGTCTTGAACTCCTGGCCCCAATCAATCCTCCTGCTTCAGCTTCCCAAAGTGTTGTAATTACAGATATGAGCCTGGCATGAACTTGACACTATTGAGATATACTGGTCAGGTATTTTGTAGACTGTCCCTCAACTCTGTTTTGCCAGATGTTTTCTCATGATTAGAGAAGGGTTACAAATTTTGAAGAAAATCCAGAGAGGTGAAGAGGTGAAATAGGGCAGGAATTTGATCTGTTTTATTTACTGCTCTATACCCAGTGTCTGGAACTTGGCCCATGGTAAGTACCAAAAATCTGTTTTTTTTGAATGAATAAGTGAATACATGAGTGGCTGTGGAAATTTAGTATTGTTTCAAAGTTTTAAAATGTTGTTGAAGGCCGGGCGCGGTGGCTCAAGCCTGTAATCCCAGCACTTTGGGAGGCCGAGACGGGCGGATCACAAGGTCACGAGATCGAGACTATCCTGGCTAACCCGGTGAAACCC